TACACTGCAGAGGGGAGCAGCGGGTGGGTCAGGAGAGGTCTGCTGCACCATGTGGTTACCTCCAGGGCAGGCAGGGATGGAACTCATGCGGAAGTGGCTTCAGCCTCTTAGTGCTGTGCTTTAACCTGCTGTGCCACCAGGGAGGGCCTATTCTCCACTTTTTATAAAACTTCTCATTTGTAGTCCAGTGTCAAACTAAGTCATGCTTTCACCATTTCCAGATCGAAAGAATAATTTTTTTCTTTGAGCAATCTAATATTTTCTTCTAATATTAATTTCTCTAAATATTCTGAAAGTTCAGAACTATGAAAGATATAATTCTATGCACATTTAGTTGATTTTTAAAACACTTCATGATGTGTTTAAGAATTAAATCAATGGCAGTTAACTTAAAGACCTTTGCCTCTTTCCCAGAAGTAACCATTTTCCTAAATTTGGTGTGTGTGGCTCCTATACATATTTGATTTTTTTTTGTAGTCATGTCAGTTAATGTATGTTTTTGTAATATGTCCACATTAATACATGTTTGAAAAATAATTTGTGGACATATCCATTCTCCAACTAAAGGTCCTGACATTATTTGATATTTTCATCACTTACAGATAGTGCAAAATTGTGTCTCGTTATATGAGGATTGAAATGCACAAGTATAACTGTTAAATCAGGCTGCATTTCACCTTCAACTTTACTAGGTAACACAAAATAGGTTTCTAATATGTTTACATCAGTTACTCTTCTATGCATAATGCAATAGCAAGCTCTCAACATCACTGATAAGTTCACTTGATGTGAACTACTTAGGCTAACTGATATAAAAATGTAAATTCCTACAGCTTATTTCTGTTCAGAAAAGCATTACCAAACTTCAAAGTACTGATCTACCTAAAGCAATTGTTACATTAAATAATGATTAGCATTTATTCATTTGTTCATTTATTTTCCAACACACCTATTCTGGCAGGTGGCCAGAATCTACCCCAGCAGCTCAGGGCACAAGGTGGAAAGGAAACCTAGACAGACCACACCTCCATTGCGGGAGACATATGCAATCCCCCACACACACTGAGACCATTGTAACAGAGACAAGTCTAACTGTGCACATTTTTTTTGTGTGTGATATGGAGGAACTAAAATAACAGAGAAACCCCATGCAAACATGGGTGGTGCTTCATAAGGAATTATTTATTTTTTTTCTCATCACTATTACAACGAATTTCTAAATAACAATATTTGAGGGGTGTATAAAGAAGAGTTCTACTTGCTACCTATCCTTGTCCTGGAAGGGTTTTTTTTTTTTTTTTAAAGATTTATTTATTTATTCATATAGAACTGGGGTACAGGCCAGAGATGTGGAGGGTGAGAGGAGTCACCAGAGACAGAGTGGGGAGCAGAACAGGCAGATCGACAAAGTACACTGCTGAGGGGAGCAGCGGGCGGGTCAGGAGAGGTCTGCCACACCATGTGGTCTCCTCCAGGGCAGGCAGGAATCGAACGCATTGCGGAAGTGGCTTAAGCTTCTCAGTGCAGTGCCTTAACTCGCTGCGCCACCAGGGAGGGCCCTGCAAGGGTTTTAAGACCAACAACTTCTAAGTAGGTTCGCCTGAGATGCTATCCCAGTGATTATGTAATTTACAATTTTCATTTTTTGAAGAAGAAATTTTAAATGTTTATCGCCATGACACTTTCCTGTTAAAAAATTATTCCTAAATAAAAAGTGTGTTAAGAATTAAAATTCTCTCAAAAATAGTGCCTTGTAAGATATTTATTACATGAAGTTATTTTTAAAAAGGCAAATTTAGGCCCTCCCTGGTGGCGCAGCGGGTTAAAGCACAGCACTGAGAATCTAAAGCCGCTTCTGCATGAGTTCAATTCCCGCCTGCCCTGGAGGTGACCACATGGCGTGACAGACCTCTCCTGGCCCGCCTGCTGCTCCCCTCAGCAGTATTCTTCATAGATCTGCCTGTTCTGTTCCCTGCTCTGTCTCTGGTGAAGCCTCTCACCACCCCTGAGCCTCTGGCCTGTACCCCAGTTCTGTATGCACAAATAAATAAATCTTTTAAAAAAAAGGCAACTTTACATTAAAGACTATGATTGTAATATATTTATTGATGATTTCACAAGTAAATATTTCAAATGTACAGTTTGCTTTTGGAATACCTTCAAGTACCTTTTTCCATACCACTTTCCTTTCCTGAAGGAAAGGTGGATGGTGGTCTTTAAAAAGCATAAGGTGATCTACTTATGATGAAATGCTCTCCTTTCTGCTACAGATATGGCAGAATTTCTGGGTTTGTAATGTAAGCATTAAATTTAGCAGATAATAGAACTGCCTGATTTTAGGAGCTGTCAGACATTGAAAGAATCAGGACTTCAGAAATAAATGAATTGTAGACGCAGAAGAGCTGAAGCATATAATTAAGTAGAAAACTCAGAGGTCTTTGACAAAGTAAGGAGAGAGGGAAAAATACTGAGAAGGAGGGAGAAAAAAGTACAAAGCATTAATGAAAATCAGGGCTTATGGTGTCCTGAAGAAATTGCAATGTGATAAATTATGGAAATTATAATATGAAGAGTAATAAATCATATCATGTCACTGATTCTCTAGAATCTTTCCAATGATTCCATCACTCAGAATCAGCTAGAGATCCCTAAGACCTCGATGGCTTCAGCCCCCATCACTTCTCTGCTTTTACCTCCTCCTGTTCTCCAGCCATCCTGTCTCCATGCACTCCTGGCTGCTGCTTACTGGTCTTTCTCCTGGAATCTCCTCCTCCAATCATCACCATTGTTCACTCTTTGGCCGCCTCCACTTTTGGTCAAATATTGACTTCTCAGTGTCTTCCTACCCTGAACAAGCTCTCAAGTTTTTGACTGTTCCTTTTTTCATTTATGTTTCCCCAGGGCCTAGATGAGCACTGGGTGCATAACAGGTACTCAATAAGTATTTGCTGCATCACTCAAAGAATATATTACATTACCATCAATTAAATAAGAGTGATAAAGCATTGATGATTTTCCAAAGTTACTTTTTACATAATCAGAGTAAAATCTTTCTTTGTGTTTACTGGGCACTTTCTATACTGAGCAATTATTTTGATAATGTTTTAAAGTGGGTTTTTTTTTTTTTAAAGATAGCTATGTATCTGAAATGACTTTAACTTAGGCCCATTTAATGTTGGAGTGAGAAAGATAAATTCCTTCAAAGTGTGTTTTCCTTACGAGTTTAAATAATATTTAGGTATTAGCAGAAAAAGCTCCCCATCTAACAGATGTTCAGTAGCGACATCTACTAAGCTAACAGAATCATAAAAATTCAACTGCCTCATGTTAAAGATGAGGAAACAAACAAAAGTTAAATTACTTCTCCACATTCAATTAGAACATAGTTAAAACACTTCTGACTACAAGCTTGTCCTAAACAAAGACTAAGCTATCACAGAATGGCCTAGCATAGTAATATTTTATAATACCAAAGTCCAGAATGAAAATTTTAGTTGATCATGTTATACAACCTACATTTTCTCCAACATGTTTCCATTTCATTACTCAAAGACACTTGTGGTTTCTTCATATTATTTGAACATCCAAGATTTCCTTTGCATTGAGGTCACTAGCAGAACAAATAATGTCATCACTTCCCTAAGTACTTTCCCTAATGTACTTTTAGCACATTCAAGGGCCACTGTACCTTCCACAACCCACTCAACATTTATCCTTTTGCTCCTGCCCTTTGCTTTGTCTGTTGAGAGAAGTGCATGGCCAGCATATTTTATAAATTTCGTACTGTTTTCAGGGAAAGGGTTGTCCATTAACTCTCATGAAATCAAACAGAAGGAACCTTCAGGGTCTGAAAACGTGTCACTTCCCTTTTTCAAAAAAGGTAATTCTTTTGCTAAAAAATTGCATGTGTGCCATTGCTTTGTCATAAGTAGGGAAAAATCTGGTGTTTTATTTTCTTCTCTAAGGTAGCAGCAGCAGCAGTTAATCCAAACATGCACGTTTCCCAGGTCCCCAGATAGTCGTCTCTCATGTTAGAGTGACACACAGGCAGATACTTTAGCAAAGACAGTCTATAAAATGAAGTTGCAATGGACCAAAACAATCATATTGATTTTTAGTACAATTCAAAACACAAGGAAACATTAGTTTTCTAAATGGCACATACTGAAAAGGACAGCAAGAAATTCACTGCATGTCGGGGAGAGATGGAAAAGGATAAAGATTATATTCACAAGCATTTTAGTGTTCTTTTAGGTTGCTTTTTTTTTTTAAACTTGAAGAATGGAAAGACTTACATTATGCTCAACTGTTCTTTTCTGAAAATCTAAGATTGCTCATTTATTGACACTGTGCTCAACACTAGAAGCCTAAACAGCCAATGGAACTTCAGGAAATAAATATTTAGGGTTCTTAAGTGTTTGGACAATTTTTTCAAATACTTTCTTTTCCTACCTCTCCCTTCCTCTCTCTCCCTTTTTCTTTTGCCCCTCAATGGGAAAGCTGCATTATAACCATACTATTTACAGACACATGATTAAGATTGCTGCAAGCAAATATTTTCATTAGATAACCTTAATCCAACAAAATGTCTTTCAAGAGTCAGATTCCTTTGGAAAGGACATTATGAATCAGGAGAGACCATGCAGGACTTACCAAGGCCCCCTCAGTTCGTCTTTGGGCAATTTCTCGCTGTAGACGGGCCACAGCCAATTTCTCCCTGGAGAAACAAAAGCACATGATTAGTTGACCATTCTTCTCAGGATCCAGGAACACAGGCATGACTTAACATTCTTCTTTAAGTCTCTGGAGGAGCTCTTTCCTTGGTTTAGCTCACTTCCTGCACTAATCTTTCTCTAAATATTTAAAGTGATTCGTCATTAGTGCACTGTTTTTAGTAAGAGCCTTGAAAGAGATTTTTTCTTTGCCTCATATTTTATAATATTCAAATAAATGTTGAATGCCAACTAAGTTTTGATGTAATTTTATTAACATTATTTGTAAGTAAATGTTTTGTGTCTAAAATATTTAAGCTGTCCATCAGTTTTGTGCATATGTATTTTAAATATTTGTTTTGTTATTCTAATGCTAAATTTAAAAGTACAAATGAAACATAACTCCATCATCCTTGAATAATAATAGAGAATCATGTAACAGCCAATGTGTGGGACATTTTACCTGAGCATATGAGCTTGACAATTCTATAATACATTTTATTATCCTAATTTTATAGATATAATAAGTGAGGTTTAGAGAGGCTAAGTGATATACTGACTTCTCAATTGGCATATAGTAGAATTAAGATCACATTTAGGGTTTAACTTCAAAACCTAAATATAAGATTTTTTCAGGACTAATAAAATTCTCTCTCTCTCTCTCTCTCTCTATATATATATATATATATAATATATATATATATGAGTCTGTAAAATATGAGTATTAAAATCACACAATTACAGTATTCTTTTTTACAATGAGTTTCATTTTTATCTGTTATAACTGCAATTCCAATTTTATATACAAGCAGTTTAATATTCACCAAAATTTTAAGAGTATTATTTAAAGCATTAGACACCTGCATATTCTGCAGGTTTTTTAAGTATTCTAAAAAAAAAAAAAGTTTTGTTAGATGAAATATGGATATGTGAATATTTTCCACTAATCCTCAAATCTTAATTTTAGCTAGAACTTTCCTTGAAATCCTTCTTTTACTCTCAAGATAGGAAGCTATTTGAGTTATCTTTCACCCCTTAATCTTATTGTTCAACAGGATCAGCTCTATGCAAATAGGAATGAAGCAGCTAGCTTTCCACATGCGTAAAAGAGTTTCTTTCCTCATAACCATGTGTGTATCTGAAATGCCTACGACAGTCAAAAAGACATGGGCTTTAGTTGGTTAGAGTTGAGTAACACTTATAGGATGAATAGTTCTACCTAAATAAATACCTAAAAACATAGATAAAAGGAAGAAAACCAGAACCAGTAGACTTTTGAGGGATACAAGTTTGGGGAACCTAGAGCAAGATTGCCACATTTATTCTTACCAGGAGGAAACAAACTAGATAAAAAGAAGTCATAAGGAAATGGTTACATGCCTTCTTTTGTTTGAAATAAGAGAAGATCATGCAAGGGAGTGTTCTCTGACCTTAGTCCTGATGAGCAGATCAAAGGAACAAGGCATGGAACAAGAATATGACTAACTTCTGGTTTAATATGAAAATTAAGCTCATGTTAAATATAATAAACCCTCAGTATCAAGGATAGGATCTTAGAAACTTCAAATGAAAAAATTCAGAATGAAACCTGTCTAACCTTTATCTAATTGAAATAAATGAGTAAAATTTCTATGGCATATTTCTGGCAACAGAATCATCACTAAACCTTTAAGAGCCAAACACCTTTAGTATAAAATAATTATTTGTATTGATTCAGATATTAATTTATTTTTTCACCTGCCTGTTCTATCTCAGAGTGATGGGGGACCCTAGCTTATCCCTACAGCTCAGGTCAAAAGGTGGGAAGGTGGGAACCATCTGGGCAGAATGTTCTTCCATCATGGGACACAACCACACTCACTCAGACTAGGCCAAGTTGGACATTCCATTAACTTCATGTGCATGTTTTGGGGACATGGGAAGAAACAGGAGTACCTAGAGAAAACCCATGCAGACATGGGAAGAACTTGTAAACTTTGTGTCATCAGTGATCCTAAATAGGAATTGACATATTTTTTTCTTGTCAATCAATGTTTTAACAAAATGATTGAAATAAACATTATTTGAGGATGCTTTATATTCATAAGGAACAAGAAAACATGCTCTATACTCTATGATCCAGAAATTCCACTCTAAGGTATAAACCCATCAGAATGTACATATGTTTACTAAAAGGAATTTATTCATTCACAAAACCAGTTTGCAATAGTCTTCAACTGAAAAGGAACATACCAATTACCAGTAAAATGAGTAAATTTTAATATAGTCAGATACTGTAATACTATAACATGCTGGGAAAAATAATTTATTTATAATCACAAAAACAGAGTATCACAAACATACTGTTGAGCAGAGCAGCAGATAAAGAAAAGTATGCACTTTGTGATTCCATATATATAAATTCAAAGACAAATAAAACTATCCAATTTGAAAATACAAGGGAAAGAAAAGGTTATCCAGGAAGAGTCAATACTATTTTGATTCACAGATGACATTATTTTCTAAACTGAAAATCCTAAAGAATTTATAAAACTATGCAGTTTTATAAATAGAATATTTCAATATAAAAAGCAATTGTTTTATATACTAATTAACCAATTGAGAAATTGCTTTCAAAAAACCTGTAATAGTGCTAAGAACATAAAATAGTTAAGGACTAAATTTAAAAAAGGCTTGTTTAGATTTCTACACCAAAAACTACAAAATTCTATTTAGGACAATTAAAGGTGATTACACATACAAGCATAAATCCATACCAAATCCATGGACTGGAAGACTTAATGGCACACTGTGAAAATCTGTACCAAGTTAATCTATAAATTATTTCTTACTGGGTTATATTAATTTACCATGGTAAACAAAAAGGAACATGGGAATAACAGGAAACCAAGCTTTCTAGTCTATTCAAATATGGAACAAAAATAATGTTGTTAAAAAGGGGACCCTGAATATCAGCTATATAGAATTCTAGTGAATAACCAATCTTCACTGCAACAAGATGAAAGAGGATAGTAAGACATATAGCTGAGGGAAAGGGGTATACATCTAAATCCTACCTTTATACTTGATTTCCAAGCTTTGTACATGCAAAATTTGATGAAATTTTTTT